GTCACGTCACAACAACAAAAGTTTAATATACCAGCTAGCTTTTTTTAATATTATAAATAGATCTATAATATTGTTCTCACGAAACGTCCACCAGGAAGTTTTACTGAACTGACTCGTCTGGAAAAATGAAGAAGGCGTCAGTTATAAAAACGAAAATAATGGAAAATATCGATTTGTAAAGTCTCTGTCTGTGATCACAGTAGGAATTTTGCAAAGGTAAATTCTAAGTTTTGAAGGATTTGTAAGAAATGTTTGAGGAAACTTACTGAGTGTTATAAAGGATGGTTTACACTATCAAAGTTTCTGTGATCACAGTAGGAATTTCGCAAAGGTAAATTCTAAGTTTTGAAGGATTTGTAAGAAATGTTTGAGGAAACTTACTGAGTGTTATAAAGGATGGTTTACACTATCAAAGTTTCTGTGATCACAGTAGAAATTTTGCAAAGGTAAATTCTAAGTTTTGAAGGATTTGTAAGAAATGTTTGAGGAAACTTACTGAGTGTTATAAAGGATGGTTTACACTATCAAAGTTTCTGTGATCACAGTAGGAATTTTGCATGGGTGAATTCTAAGTTTTGAAGGATTTGTAAGAAATGTTTGAGGAAACTTACTGAGTGTTATAAAGAATGGTTTACACTATCAAAGTCCCTGTGATCACAGTAGGAATTTTGCATTGGTAAATTTTAAGTTTTGAAGGATTTGTAAGAAATGTTTGAGGAAACTTACTGAGTGTTATAAAGGATGGTTTACACTATCAAAGTTTCTGTGATCACAGTAGGAATTTTGCAAAGGTAAATTCTAAGTTTTGAAGGATTTGTAAGAAATGTCCGAGAGAACTTACTGAGTGTTATAAAGGATGGTTTACACTATCAAAGTTTCTGTGCTCACAGAGGAATTTTGCAAAGGTGAATTCTAAGCTTTGAAGGATTTGTAAGAAATGTTTGAGGAAACTTACTGAGTGTTATAAAGGATGGTTTACACTATCAAAGTTTCTGTGATCACAGTAGGAATTTTGCATAGGTAAATTCTAAGTTTTGAAGGATTTGTAAGAAATGTTTGAGGAAACTTAATGAGTGTTATAAAGTCTGGTTTACACTATCAAAGTTTCTGTGATCACAGTAGGAATTTTGCATAGGTAAATTCTAAGTTTTGAAGGATTTGTAAGAAATGTTTGAGGGAACTTACTGAGTGTTATAAAGGATGGTTTACACTATCAAAGTCTCTGTGATCACAGTAGGAATTTTGCATTGGTAAATTCTAAGTTTTGAAGGATTTGTAAGAAATGTTTGAGGGAACTTACTGAGTGTTATAAAGGATGGTTGACACTATCAAAGTTTCTGTGATCACAGTAGGAATTTTGCATTGGTCAATTCTAAGTTTTGAAGGATTTGTAAGAAATGTTTGAGGGAACTTACTGAGTGTTATAAAGGATGGTTTACACTATCAAAGTTTCTGTGATCACAGTAGGAATTTTGCAAAGGTAAATTCTAAGTTTTGAAGGATTTGTAAGAAATGTTGAGGAAACTTACTGAGTGTTATAAAGGATGGTTTAGACTATCAAAGTTTCTGTGATCACAGTAGGAATTTTGCAAAGGTAAATTCTAAGTTTTGAAGGATTTGTAAGAAATGTTTGAGGAAACTTACTGAGTGTTATAAAGGATGGTTTACACTATCAAAGTTTCTGTGATCACAGTAGGAATTTTGCATAGCTAAATTTTAAGTTTTGAAGGATTTGTAAGAAATGTTTGAGGGAAACTGATTCGGTGTTAAACACTGAGTCATTTCCCTCTAAAATGTCTTACAAATCCTTCAAAACGTAGAATTTGCCGATGCAAAATTCCTACTGTGATCACAGAAACTTTGATAGTGTAAACCATCCTTTATAACACTCAGTAAGTTTCCTCAAACATTTCTTACAAATACTTTAAAACTTAGAATTTACCTTTGCAAAATTCCTACTGTGATCACAGAGACTTTGATAATGTAAACCATCCTTTATAACACTCAGTAAGTTTCCTCAAACATTTCTAACAAATCCTTCAAACCTTAGAATTTACCCATGCAAAATTTCTACTGTGATCACAGAACGATCACAGAAACTTTGATAGTGTAAACCAGTCTTTACCGTTTAATACAGTCACAAAGCAATGGAAAATTATGTTCGGGACTGCATGTGCGACTTTATCAAATGACCACTTGAGAAAAGGTGCGCCGTTTAATGCACCGTCGCTTAATTCAGGTTCGACTGTATCAAGATCTTGCAGTCACGCGAGAATATCACATCACGCTAAGAAATCACGCGATTTTGGGTGGCAAAAATAACGGGCAACAAAAAAAACGTTGTCGGAAGCCATGCGAAATCTTGATGGCCAATAGACTCCAAGTATGTTTTTATTTAGCTCTAAACATTTGCCACCCAAAATGAGGGAATACAACAGTTACGTAGAATAATATTTTGTGACGCAACTTGCAAGGGCTGACTAATATACTGGAGTAAACATGAAAATAGTTTGTTTGTGGTCGGCGCGCGCGTCATTTTCGACTGCGCGCGTCACTTTCAACTGCGCGCAGTCGAAACGTCAAGGCCGGGTTTTTATTACAAATTATTATCTGAATAATTTATTATTTTGTTTACTTGAACATTTTGTTGAGCTGTATCCTTCGTAATTCAGCTTAGCTCTCAGCTGCAAGAAGGATGATTAGTACACCCCACTTACTTAAATTCGTTTGTTTTAGAGTGAAGAAAGCTCGTATTTCTGTGACAACATGTCGAACGAGACAGAAATTATCGACGATGAAACTTGTTTTTCCAAAGAACGTGCTTACTATTCATTATTAGTTGTCATCAGTTTCTTTATCATCTGTATCAATTTTGACGTCATCTACACCATGGCTACGAATAAAAGCCTTCAGACAAAACGCAATGCATTTCTAATAAGTCTTAGTGTATCTGACTTATTGAACGGCTCCGTATCCATACCGCTTCATATAGCATCGAACTGTTATTATCCTCCTTCAGAAATATTGATCCTGGCTCAGGCTATTTGTTTCAGGTTTGTAGCCATATCCACCATGTTGAACATACTATTGATCACAGTCGAGAGGTACTTCGGGATAATATATCCTATAAAGTACCAGTTTATCCTCACAAAAGCTCGCACATCCATTCTCATCACCTGTACATGGGCGACCTCTGTCTCGTCAGCTCTCGTGTCGTACTCGTGGCTCATGTCGGTACCCGCCGGAGACGAAGACATTCCGATGCGAGAGAGGCAATTTGAAAGGGCCTACTTCATTTTCTCTTTTGTCGCGTTTTTTCTTCTACCGCTGGTCATAATGACCGTGTTGTATACGAAGATGTTTCGCGCCATTTCAAGGGCGCGAAAATTGGCATCAAAAGCCCAGATGTATTTAAAGAGTTGCGAGCGTTTTCAATCGTCTGCTCCGCGCAGTCCTATTGAAATTCGAGTTACGAGACCACGTAGCGTCACCGTCGGTTTGTATTGCGATCGCCATCAGTCACGTGGACAGAGCAGCAGCTTGCCCCAGTCCCCCGTTGTTACACGCAATCGGAGTCGAAGTCACGGTTCCTATGGAGACCATCTCACCGTACATGGCAATTCCCAATCTCCAGTTCGGGTGGAAACCATGGTAACGCATTCTGAATCACGTGTTCAAAGTACCATTGCCCTTTCTCCTCCCCAATCTCCCACTCGGCTTCCCATGACCGAAATACACCGTCCGGTTTGTTGTCAAATTTCATGCCCTGAGAACACTTCTGCTCATGCGCAAAACCAGCCTCAGTCCTCTTACCTAAGCTTACCGCTCAACGAGGCAACTCGCTATGCAAAGCATCATGGTTCGTTTGACCGGTTTCTGAGCTCAAGTCACAGGTTTATGTCAACTAGGTGGCTATCAAACTCGACTCAGGCCATCGATAAAATGAAAAGCGCGAGGCCTCTGGAGAAATACCAGAGTGATAGCGTCATCACTTCTCGGGAGAGAACGTCTTTCTCCGAACGACTCTTCGATGCCTGCGAGACAGCGGCATCCAAACTACGCATGCGCAGACAGGGGAGCAACGAAGACCGTTGGGGACAGTCAAGGATCAAACAGGAACATCGTGTACTTCTGGTGTTCGTTACTATGATCTCGGTGTTTGCATTGAGCTGGATATCATGGTACATATTGGTACTTGACTTTACATACAGTATTTATATCCCCTCAGTTGTCCTGGATTGCTTTGATATTCTGAGGTTTTCCGTGTCCTTCGTCAACCCAATATTATACACTTTCTTCAAAAAAGATTTTCGAATTGCCTTCAAGAAAAGCTTGCGGAAATTCAGCACTGACCAACAAAAAGCAAGAGCCGATATCAAGGAAAAACTGAAAAAGCCAAAATGCGATGTCAAGGAAGAATTGAAAAAGTGAACTGTTCCTTTTGGTCTGTTCCTTTTGGTCTAGTGTAGCTATAGCACTGGAATTACTGGAATGTCAAATCTAATGTATGTAATTTAGAGTCGGCCCGACACGACACAGTATTATTTTTATCGTTTTAGAAATGATAGGATGTGGGGCTCATAATTATCATTCCTTTGTACTGGTTTCGTTAAAGGGATATTGTCTCATTTGATAGAAATTTTAGAATTATATTTAAAATTCCTTCACCGATTTTTCATACCTTCATGCTGAGCTTCTGAAATATTTTGCCTGAAAACAATCTGCCATCTTGGATTTATTTTTTTTATCTCATTCGCTTTCAGATTCTTAAAAAGTTGTCAGTTAAATTGTTATTCGACATAGTGACCCAAATATAATTTTGGGTTTATAATGACCATTGCATATCTAGGTAAAATATTATTAAATATCCACAACAATCCAAGATGGCGGAAAGCTCGCTGGTTTATTTGAAGCTGTAAAAATGTTTTCCCCTTAATTTGAAATGAGACAAACTAAATGTGTGTTGCTATATCCCTTTAAATACCATGCACTTATTACGAAACTTGTTGTGAGCGCTTGTAGCCATTAAAAAGAACTCGTTTCTTACTTTCTCATCAAATGAGGTGTTCTTTTTCATCAGTTGCAAGTAACTCGCTGCAGCGCGCGGCAAACGCTTCGTGCAAAGACCAGAAAGCGGGATTTTATCCCGAGTAAAATAGCCGAGCACCAAGTACGACCTTAGCAGACAAAAGATTAATTAAACTTAGTTTACAAGGGTTTATAGTTTAGTTCTTAAATGAATATTTGATAAAAATAGTTAGTAAAAACCCTGAATAACTTGGAAATCAAGAAAAGTAAATTCTAGTTCTAGATGTAATACTTTTATTGAAGAAACAAATGTAAATATTACTGCTTAGGGACTGGTCATTATTTAATTTATGGCGAGAAGGGTTGGGTAAACAAAATTTTGCGTGAGTAAAAGGTTGGGTAAATGAAAAACAAAACAACTCGAGGGTTGGCTAGTAAAAGTTATTGCCACTTCCAAAGCATGACCCAGTCAAATATTGAAGACAAAGAGCAATGTCAACAGTCATATGTCAATACGTTATGTAAATCAATCATCAGAGTCATTATCTTGATCATTTTCCGATTTGTCAGGAGGCAAATGGTGTCTCCAAAGAGAGTATACATGTGCAGACAACATGAAACTTTAGACTGCAGAAAATTGCCCAAGTAGTTATCAAACTCGTGTCACAGAAGTGGTAAAGGACATATGTGTTTGAGGTTTTGATATTTGAGGTTGGGTAAAATTTTTTTTTCACTTTTTAATGTTTGGATCAGCAAAACATTTACCAAAGAAACATTTCTCTTCGGTATCCCATAAATAATGACCTACTCCTTACTTATTTTAGATAATTTTCTTTACTGTAGCAATGCCAAGGCTGGACCTGGCTTAAAACTATTGTAATATGGTTAGATATTTAATATATGATAGATGAATAACATTATAGTCTTATGATTCCGTGAAGTTAGCTTGGGCATCAGCATTCGTCCAGATGGTTCTTTGGATTTGCGTGGTGCTCGTTGTTTCTGTGTTTCCAGAAATTTCGCTGGTTACTGGAACTGCTTGTTCTGGTGGTTGGACAACTACTGGTGTTGGTTTTACTGGTCGAGTTGACGAAGCCGTTTCATCTTCATAGTATATCTATTTGACAGATGAAGGCATTATTCAGATTTTTTTCTTCTTTTTGTTTAAAAGTAGTATATCTAATGTTTACCCCCAAAACAGATATTGCTTATCTACACACGTAAAAACGCACAAGCTGTAACAAACCTGCAGCAGACTTGTAGCAATGCTGTTCCAAAAACTTGTCAACAGGATGTGTTCGCACTGCTTGTTCCCAGCTTGTTGCGGACAACTTGCTACAAGGTTGTTGAGCTCAACAGACTTGTTACAAGTTGTTTCAGCGACTAATTATCGTCATGCAATTTAACAATTTGTCAACAAGTTGTGAGTGACAACCTTGTAGCAACTTGATAAAATAACAGCATTGTTACAACTTGTTGACAAGCTTGCTACAAGGCTGTTGCGAACACATCTTGTTGACAAGTTGTGAGAATTTTACGTTTGTAATTAGTGGTTCAGACTGGGCCCTGCTAGCCTTACCCTGAGGGACCTACATCTTAGGTTGTTTACCGTTTACATGGAAAACCCATCCGGTTTGAAATTGTCCTAATGGTCAGCAAAATTTCGGATAGAAAATCCCATTCGGATTATGCGCTTTCCATTTAGAGTGACTGACCGGAAGACACTGAAGTATTTAATAATTCCAATTGTTAAATCGAGAAGAGTCTGGAACTGGTTAAAAAATAAAAAGATGTAAATGGAACAAAATTTACCGGTTGAAACGTTCCAATCAGTAAGAGAGGACAACCTTTTCACACAGAAAGGAAAAGTTCCGGTTGGGCAGTCGAAATATGCTTGTTCCATTTACTTTCCGATGGAATCAGCGGAATTTCCATTTAAATGGTAAGCAACCTTACACTGGGAAGCCCACACTAGGCCCTCATCTTGGTTTTGGTCCCCCACTGTAAAACGTTTAAAATACGCACTGATCAAAGTTCATGATAAGCGAAATAGTAGCGAAACAGTGCACTGCTGGTCTTAGTCTAAATCATGCAGTCTTTAATACTTCAGTTAGATATGTCTATTAGTACCTCATTTTGTGCCAAGGATTGCCCAGGCATCATTCCAGATATTGTTCCTGAGTGTATCAAAGCACTGCGCCTTCGGAGGCCTGAGTAAGAGTCTGTCCCACTAATTTGTTGTATCTCTTCTGGGACATGCATCATCGTGTACCGTTGACCTGCAGAAGCCCCTGAAATCCTCCTGAATGGCTGAAAAGCAAGACTGATATCTTCTGGTGGAATTGGATGCTCATGGGCGAAATGCTCCATGGTTGTTGGAAACACGTTTGCCAGATGACCTCTATGCTGGGGTATGGGTGTCACCGAGCGGTATTGTGGGATAACAGGTGTATTATACATAACATGAGGGATACTCGCCTGTCGGATGTTGGATTGGGAAGGGTATATAGGTATATGACGCTGTGGATATTGTGGTTCAATGTATGTGGGTTCTGAGCTGGGTTGGAAGCATCTGACGGACACATCGTTTCTGCTTCTTCCCGATGTTGATTGCTGGTCGTAATCTCCTAAAAATGATAGTCAATAAATCAATAGGTTGATATCTCGATATTCGATAAATCGATAGATTGATAAGTCGATAGTCGATAAATCAATAGGTTGATAACTCGATAGTCGATAAATCAATAGGTTGATAACTCGATAGTCGATAAATCAATAGGTTGATAACTCAATCAACTTGAATAGACAGCATACCTCCGCCGGCAAATTAAGTTATGTGTCATGCATAAATTATACAATGGGTTAATTACGCACTCCGTGCACTCTGCCCGGCAAAGAAAGGCAAACATTTTCTAATTTCACTACCAGCAGTTGTGGTGTCTTGCCTTTCAAGCTGAGATATCCTTGGTCGGACCTCTACTCAAGGTCTTAAAATAATTGAGGAGAAAGTGCTACCTTTACATTGACATCAGGAAATGGTTAGACTTTCGCGTCTTCTCGGATAAGGACGTTAAATCGTGGCTACCTCGGATCCCTTATCAATTTGACAATAGCCTAATTGGGAAATCTGCTCACCAAAGAGTGAGAAACTCAATAATTTTTCATCCACATTTAACCAAAATTTACTCAATTTGTTCTTGGGCAGTGTCCGTTAGACCCACAAATTTTCGTAGTAATACGTTTGGTATATCATAAGCTATCGTGCTAACTACACACACAGACGCACATGAATCATCAAGCAAAAAGAGGATATTTTACACGGTGGCGCGAAGATATGACTTTTATCTTCGAGTGGTAAATATATGAGAAGATAAAAGTCATATCTTCAAGCCAAAGAATTTAACACGAGAAGATAAAAGTCATATCTTCAAGCCAACGTGTAATGTTCTGTTTATTATATAGTCCCATGCAAAAAATTGTATAAATACTAAAAGTCAGATGATCGATATCTTCACTAGTGAAGATATGGAAAATATCTCACTGTGTATTTTTCAGTATCTCACTCTCTACTATATAATAAACGCTTCTATCATTTCTACTTACCTTTCCACCACTTTTCATAACCATCATGTTTGTGTCTACTGTGCTTGCCTCCATTTTTCTTCTGCTTTTCACCGATTGATTTCCATCGACCCCATTTTTGCTTATCACGAGGCATTGGAGGTGAACTGGGCGCGAATACGTCATCAGATTCAGAGCTCTCGGTACAACTTGTTTCAGACTTCCTTGAAGATCTTCGCCCGCGGTGTCGCTTTTTGTTCTTGCCGTTGTTGTTGTCGTTGTTGTTGTTGTAGTTGTCATTGTTGTTGTTGTTGTTGTTGTTGTTGTTGTTGCTGTTGTTGTCGTTGTTTCTGCTGTCGTTGTTGTTTCTGCTGTCGTTGTTGTTGTTGTTGTTGTTGTTGTTGTTGTTGTTGTTGTTGTTGTTGTTGTTGTTGTTGTTGTTGTTGTTGTTGTTGTTGTTGTTGTTGTTGTTTCTGCTGTCGTTGTTGTTTCTGTTGTTGTTGTTGTTGTTGTTGTTATTGTCATCATTCTTGCTACCTTCTCTATTCAAGCTGGCGTTCTCTTGCCCCTTCCTATCTTTCAAGAGCTCCGTGCTGCTGTTTCTACTCTCCACCGATCTCTTCACAGGCGACACAGGCTGTCCTCCCATGCCGTACAATATTAACTTCAAGTTCTTGATATCGTTCGCCAACTCCTTTCCAGACTTTTTAACTTTCACCAAATCCTCGCGGACAATTTCGAGATCAGATATTTTCCCCTTTCCGAAACGTTTCCCAAATCGTTCAGCCAGGACGCTTTTGATCTGCCGAACGTCGTCGTAAACTCGTTCAATATTCGCTCTGTCCTCGGGCTTGTTCGCCATCAGTCGTCCGTATTTGTTTTGAATAATCTGCGGGCTTGCGTTCGATCTAATAAAATCGTAGTAAAGCTTGCGTTTCGTGTTACCCATTCGTGATTGAAGTAGCAATATCGTGCGCGCGCGTTGCATGACCGCGATCGCCACTGCGTTTTCATAATGCTGTTCGAACGTGTTCGTTACCAAAGCAATGAGCAAGTTGAGCGTGATGATAGCAGCAGTTAGGATGAAACTTCCACATAATATGCGCGCCATTGTTTCATTTGCTTCCTCCAGTTTTTTAAAGCCATAGTCTCCGACAATCATCATTTGGAAGACGTTGTATGCAAGGGACGATACGTCTTTGTAGCCATCAGCTGGGTTGTCCGAATTTTTCCCAAATGCAATCCAGAACGCGCAAGCAAAGGGAATTATTATAGCTGCGTTGAGAACAATCCATTTCAGAATGTCTCCGACGACGTTACCGAAGATCACAACATGGGGGCCTGTATAATAAACATGAAAATTTCGATTTAATTTACGAGGCAATTTTTTTTAATAATCTCAAGAGCACGCTCATATATGTACCAAAATCCAGTGTGCTCATGAGCACACTCATATGTATGCCAAAATCCAGTGACATATACACTCATGGGCATTCTCATGAGGATACTGCGTACACTTGGTACAGTGGTACACTTTTTTGTTTTTCGGGCCATATTTCGAATTGCGATACCTCAAAAACTATGATGCTCACATTTTGAACTTAAACTATTCCCACACAATGTTACTGCCTGCAAAATATAAATACATTTGGAGAGGGTGGGTGTCATGCCTGCATGGACGTGTTGAAATGGCATGGGATTACCCGAAAACTCTCATGCAAACTCTCGAGTCTCATCAACTCACATTTTCGTTTGATCAGGGCTCAACATACAAAAGATTTTTCCTCTTCACAAACCTGCATTTTCAAACGGCCTCGCGTATTTAAACATTCTGAACCAAAGAATGATCAACATCGCAATCGTAACATACACATTGAGCTCCTTCCAGAAAACTGAAGGATAGACGTCATTCGCAGAATTTGTGGAAGCATTGGCTCCCTGCGATGAAAGGTTGCACAAAATGAGCCCATTCGCTACTTCTTTCACAGAATTGGTGGACGCATTCCGAGTACCATTGGGTCCCTGCGATGAAAGATTGCAAAAAATGAGCCCATTCGCTCTACATATACTTGTTCACTGTAGGTGAAGTGCAAGAATATTCATCGAAACGCGAAGCATTGGGGTGAATATCCTTGCACTATCCACCGACACTGAGGTGAATAATTGTTTTAGCATATATACCACAACAAAACAAGAATGACCAAACAACAACGAAAATATTGTTAGAACAATTTGTATTTCAGCTCCAGTAATACTTAATAGCTCAGTTGGTTTGAGCGCTGCACTGAAATCGCAGGGCTGCAGGGCTGCAAAATCCTGATATTTCCCCATACATTAATTAACAAATATGAATAATTTTCCATGTTGATATTTAACAATTATTCGCCGAAGGCGAGGTGATTATCGGGGAATATTCGCCGAGATGAAGTCGAGGTAGGCGAATAATTGTTTTAGTATTTTTACACAAGCTTTTGTGTTTTTTGAGACTGAATTCATTTTAATTTCGCTTATTTCTTTGTCAGTAAACTTCCACAAAACGAGTAGCCGCCATTTTGAAAATTTCTGTTTTGTTATATTCACCTACAGGTGAATATAACAGCTTATTACGTCAAATTTGACCAATGAACGTGTATGATTTGTTATGTTCACTTGTGTAAAAATACTGAACAGTTATATCAACATGAGTGGAAATTGAGAAAACGAGAAATTGTGTGAAAGCTTATTATATTATAATAAGCTTTATTAAACTTATTTAAATTTATTATTAAGACTTGGACAGTTCTTTGCAAGAACGTAGAACAGTTCTTTGCAAGCGCCTTTTTTCGAAGATGTTGGAACCCACTCACAAACTGAATGCCTTAGTACCGCCTAAAAATCTTCAAACTTATGATCTGAGATCTTATTCTAACCTATTAGTACCTAGGTGTAGAACTGAACGTTTTTCGAACAGTTTCATTCCTGCTGCGTCTCGTGCTTATAATAATAAGTAAACTTTAGTTTATTATCGTAATTTTTATCTAATTAACCTATTTTTACCTGTAAATATAGAATAGTTTGAATATCTATGTTCTTATACCTTGTAATTCCAAAGTAATTCAGTTGTTACTGCTAGTTTGGAAATTTATAATAATACAGTTCTTTGCAAGAACGTAGATCTTTAGATCACCCCTGATGAAGACACTAGACTGGAGTGTCGAAACGTTGGGTCTTGATTACAATTCGGCTGGGCTTTGTAATCATTTATTTAAACCAGAATAGCGAGCGAAACATGATTGATATACCTGGTTGCAGTGAACGAACAAACTTTAAATAATAATAAATATCAAATTTCTCTTACCTTCGGGGAACCATGCCCATGGTCATAATCAGTTACGAAGAATATGGTTAGTGTGACAATGGCCGCGAGAATGAGGAATAGACAGGCCCAATCAAAATACATCCACCAGTCCGATGTCGACACCAGAGAAAGATTTTCGACAGCGTCTATTTCGGAGTTGAGATAGTTTTCTTCTTGCCGCCATCTTGGATGACAATATTTTTTATCTTGGTGTAGTTGTTCAGCCCGCCATTCGCGCCATTTTACCAGTTCTCGTCGTGCGGTAACAGTCTCTGAAAAGGTTTTTAGTTAGTTTTGGTTTCTGAGAAAACATTGTTTCCTAGCCATTTTTTTAAAGGTGAACAAACCAGGAAATATTGTTTCCTAGTTGTGTTTCCTGTTTCCTAAAAGTGGCAAACTAAGAAACATTGTTTCCTAGCCATGTTTCTCGAAGGTGGCCAAACCCTAAAACATTGTTTCCTAGCCATGATTCCCGAATGTGGACAAACCAAGAAACCTATGATTCTCCATAGGAGCCCAAAAATACGTGTAGAATGTACCAAATGTCAATTTATAAATAAGCTCGCCCCATTCGTCTGACATTTGTCGCGTGCCAAAGCGCGTCATGCTTTTCATTGTGTGCTTGCGGCGCGCGACAAATGTCAGACGACCTATGGTTTCTCCAAGGTGGACAAACCATAGTCACAAGGAAACATTGTTTCCTGGCTATGTTTCACAGGGAAACATTGTGAGCAAACCTGGAAACATTGTTTCCTAGCCATGTTTCCCGAAGGTGGGCAAACCATGAAATATTGTTTCCTAGCCATGTTTGCCAAAAGAGGGCAAACCAGGAAACACTATTTCCCAATTACGTTTCCTCTTGGCGGGCAAACCATGAAACATTGTTTCCTAGCCATGTTTCTCGAAGGTGGACAAACCAGGAAACATTGTTTCCTAGCTGCGTTTCTCGAAGGTGGACAAACCAGGAAACATTGTTTCCTAGCCATATACTAAAACTGTCTGTACCAGTGTAGGTAGTACCAATGTGAAAATGCTGTGCTGAGTGGTTATATTACTACCTTAAAAAAACAAACCCGAAAATATAATCCCCCAGTAGGGTTGGCAAAATTTTTTTCTTACTTGTAACTTGTCTTTTAATCTCCATCAAAGTGAACAAGACGATCATACCGGCGATAATAAACCTCCATATATTATCCTTCAGGGGTTGATATAAGTCATGCCCGTATCTCGGTGTTGTCACAGCTACTATAGTCCAGAGCATTGTATAGATCAGATTTAAAGCCATGTCCATGATCGCACCTCTCTTCCCATAAATCCTCCATTTGACCGCTATAAGTCTTCTCATAACTGGATGCATAATGACATCAAACCTTTAAATTAAGCATAAAATTGTGAAATTTTTCCAAATTGCACTCATAAACAAAACAAAAATATATCTCGTTCGCACCTTTCATTCTGGACAGCTATTTCCAGGGGAGAACGCGCTTGTGTTTCCTGCAATTCTTCCTTCAGTTTCGCGCCTTCGAGGTAGTTGAGAAAGTAAAACTCTCGTCTATTGATGTAGTCTGTCGTGTGGAATTGATCCAATGCTATTAGCGCCACTTCGGGGATCTTTTCAATGAGGAGTGATAATGCAGAGTTACCCAGGTTGTCATACACGCCAGCAGGCGCTCCTTCAGTCACCAGAAGTTTGGCTGCTTTGAAACTGTTCATTTCTGCGGCGACCTGGGGAATTTAGGAGAATGCTTTTGGAAATGCAATGGCAATGCACTGAAATCGCAGGCCCATGGTTCGATTCCTACCAGAAGGCCTATATATAGCAGGGTGTCACGGGCCTTGAAAATCCTGGAAAGTCCTTAAATTGGAAGAAAATAATTCCAGGACTGGAAAGTCCTTGAAAATCAGTAGAAGTCCTTGAAAGTTTCCTGGAATTAATTTCCTTAACCTCCAGCTGTGCCAACATTAGTGATTTTGATTAAAATTACTGAATAAAGTGAATTATTTAAAGGCAAATCCGTGCCATTTTCAAAGATTTTTCCCAGTTCTATAGGTCCTTGAATTTACTGAAAAAGGACATTGAAAGTCCTGGAAAAGTCCTTGAATTTCACTATCACCAAAGTGTGGACTCCATAGATATCTTATATACACTAGATAGTGCATCTAATTATTCTGCAATTCAAAAATTGAAGCCGTGATTACAGACTCGGAATATTCCCATGAAATGAGAAGTTTCGCACGTTTTCTATTTCTTAAACAGAGAACTTAAACATTAAGTTTAACCTATTCCAAATACATTTTTAAACTATTCAAATGATGAAAGTTGTTGTTTTTTTAAGCGTTTATTAGCGAGGGGGAACTACCAACATGGCCGCCATCTATTCAAATGGGGGTAACCGCTGGAATATTCTTGGCTTCAATTTTACTAAAAGAGATGCGCTATCTAGTGTATATAAGATATCTATGTGGACACCCTGATAGTTGCTGTTCCTGGCATGGTCTTATCTATAAAATGCACACCCGGAATTTCCATCTACAAAACCTCTCTACATTCTACAATATAGGAGAATGCTTTTTGAAATGCAATGAATTATGAACTCTCTTAGTTGGCTCTGTATTTTGTATGGTCATATATGGCAATTCCCACACTACCTAGCAATTGGTGATTCCAGCTATGCACTGAATTTTGATCTAGGCAAGAAGAACGAAATCCAACACCACAGCTAGAAAGAGCGTCTTAGAATGAGTAAAACTGCAAAGATTGGTTGCTAAATGTTGTAAAATGAAGAAGATATAGCCCTGCAAATTTTATATATATTTTTATTATATGGATATGAGTAAAATACCGTAAAATACGCCACTGATATTTCCCGTATTTCACTGTAGTGAAATATGAATTCATATCTTACGCGGGAACGTCTCGCGCGGGGCCCACGCTAATTCCCGCCATTTTGCCGTTTCTGTTTTGAATATTCAATATGGCAAATTCTCGACATTTTGTTAATGTTTCCGACGCTGATTTGGCAAGGTTTCTGAAGAAAATGAAAACGAAAACACAAAAAGGAAGACTAAGTCCGATTTGGCGATCTTCAGCGACTATTTAGCCTCTATAAACGAGCGGAGAGACATAACATTGTTGCCGTACGGTGAGCTACAAAACATCTAGTTGATGAAATTTATTTTGGCCATATAATAAAAAGAACATTTCACGGTGGCTTTGGAAATATGGCTTTTATTTTCTCGTGTTGAAAACAATATTTTACTCACTCGCTGCGCTCGTTCGTAAAATATTGTTTTCACCACTCGAAAATAAAAGTCATATTTCCGCGCCACCGTAAAATATCCTCTATATATATGTATATATGTATATGTATGTATATATGTATATATGTATATATGTATGTATATATGTATATGTATATATTATCTATATGTATATATATGTATATGTATATCTATATCTATCTATCTATCTATATCTATCTATATCTATATCTATATCTATATCTATATCTATATCTATATCTATCTATATCTCTCTCTCTCTCTATATTTAATATCTAGACGTTTCGCCGATCAAGGCTTCTTCAGTAGATAAAACTTTACAGTAATATTACACACCCTATTTTTATACTGTACATCAATAATTAAAAATTCCTAGTATTGAATTCTCTAGAGTCTACAGGGTGTATCAAAAAAAACTGAACAGATTTGAAATTGCTCTCAATTTCGCAAAACACCTATTTGTATCTGTTTTTTTATATATATAGCTTCTTTGGGTACTTATAATGTAAAATAATGAAAAAAATTTCTCGAACTCAAATTTTGTTAACCAGGGGGTGTGTCTTTTCCAACAAACT